AAAGTGGTCCAACACACCGAATTGAACTTTTCCAAATAATTATATAAAAATTATTTGGGAAAATTTTAATAAATTCTTAAAAAACGGTCTAACGGTCATGGCATTTAAAACTAGGACTTTATTGCACCCACCACTTTCTATTTTGCAAAATTTCAAAAGTGTCTGTTGCACCATGAGCCGGAAGATTAATAAACTATATAATAATAAAGAAGTAGTCTTTTTAAAAAATTAGGAAATTAAATCAAAAGAAAATGTAAATGTGGTTGGTTCAATTAAGCCCCCCAGCTTAATCTTACCAAATATGATTTTAGTGCAAAGTTTCTAAAATGCGCTGAAATCAGTGAGTCAGATTTTGAAATTCTATTTCATTTTAAAAACACTTAATTATTTACAAAACAAACACATACAAAATATTTATATTTATACATTTTTTGCAAATATTAATATTCTGCGCCTAAAATTAGGCAACACATTAAATTTTTTCTGAAAATTTAAAGTGAATTTCGCTCGAATTATAATTTTCGGATGTTGGATCACTTTTATTTTAAGTTACTTAATTTATTATTCAAAATAAATACCTTTTTAAATGTTATATTTTCGTATACCGTTATATATTGTATATAAGAAATAAAAATATTATAAAAATGTTAATTTTAAATATTCTGAAAATAATATATAGTTGTATATAATATATAGAAGAATGTTGTAACAATAAAATTATTACTGATCCTTTGATTCCACTTCTATCTCATAACAGTTGTATGAATCCATGCCAAGAGCTGTAATAATCCCTAGTACTTTTCGATATTATAACTATAAAAAAGGAAATTTTTAAAACAAATACAAATTTATAGGAATTTTTTTAATATTCTATTGCAAAAAAAATTTTTTTTTTAAAATTTACATAAAAATAATTTTTGTGAAATTTATTTTAAATTATCATAATTCTTAAGCGTGTATGTTTTCATCCTAATAAAATATTTTATTATTTCTTTCTGTAGAATGAAATATAAAATTTGAAATTTGATTTAACATCAATTTTATTGTGTGTAACAAAATTTTTAACATAAAAATTATTTTGTACAGTTAATCTTTTATTGAATTATAATTTTTATTGATTTTAAATTTTGTGAATGTGTTTGTATCGAAAGATTTTTGTTTGCTATTGCGTCTGTTGTGTGTTTTTGTTTTTGAAACTTATCACATAAATTATAACAGTTGTGAATGTCAATGTCAAGTCGGCTTAGTTCAACTTATTATTTAACTGCTAATAGATTGACTATGGTGGTAAACGAAGTTTTAACGAAGATGAAATTAATAGATTATTGAAAATTAAAAGAGCGATTTATTTCATGCGACTTGGATGACATAATTGGCGTTAAAATGCCTCTAAATTATTTTATATAAGGATTTAAAAATATTTACTTGGAGTGTCTTTATTTGTCAACTGCAAATTTTAAAAACCTATAATACTGAGTAAGTGTTGAGCGATATTCCAACTGCATATAGTGAGGAAAGCGACTTAAAAATTAAATTCTTCGAAAGGACCAAGAAAATCGTAGTTTTCGTTTGCCGTTTCTTCTTCTTTTTCTAAAAAAAATTAAACATTTAAAAAAATAGTCTCTTACCATAAAAAAATTTTTTATGGCAAATCAGCTCTTACCATAAAATATAAATATTGGCTATTACCATATAAAAACTTAATATAATACTAAGAAGAGAAATTTTTTAATTTCAGAGAGAATTTAAAAAAATAGTGGGAAAATATTTTTTGACAGATAATTTTAAAGAGAGCCGGTGACACAGTATTATACGTAATTATATCAGATTCATCATAATCAAATATCTTCCTTCCCTTCCAACTACGTTTTTGTCGTATTGACCGATGTTACTTTAAATTTTCATTCATCAACTTTCTACTCTTAACATAGATGATATTATTTTATCAACTCTTGTATTGCATAAAACTTTTGTATTATTCAAAATTTCCTCCTGAAGTTATTTTAAATGAAAATGCGAACATCCTCCTGAATTTATGCAAATCACAACGCACGCCATTTGGAAGTGATACAACAGAGTTCGCCTTTTTGGTTGAAAGCACTATTTAATTTTTGATACTCTTTTATTACATTTAATAATCGAAGATTCAAATAAACGCATAAATATTTTTGTGAAACGCATCGCATTATTTTTTTAAGTTTCCTGTAAAGTTGAAGTTCATTTAGCGTGCTTTAACAAAATTTCTTACACATTTTTTCTGCTTTCCACTTCTAATTTGGAGCTCAAAGCGTTATTTGTGTCTACTACTGAATATTTTGTAATATTTTAACATATTTTAATTTATTATAAGTATGTATGTATGTATGTTTAAAAAAAATTTTTTAAATTATTTTTGTGATATATTTACAAGTTTAATTTAATATATACAAAATACATTTATAATTTTTTTGTTTTCGTATTTTTGCTCACTTAGATTTATAGATTTTGTGTAGTGCAAATTGCGTTTTAATAAATTTACACATAATTATTTACACAGTTTATATTCATATATATTAACATAATATACATACATGTGTATGTAATAATCTAATATATACTTATTAAATATGATATTAATTAAATAATATGCTATGTAAGTATGTTATTATAATCCTAATATTTTAATTTATTTATGAGCAATATTAAATATTTTTTAGAGGATATTTAATTATTTGTGGTGATTTAATTATTTATAATGGAAAATTTTTTAACCTTATACTGATCACAAGTAATCACAATATTATAATATAAAATTTATTGTATAATAAGCAAAATTTGAGAAACGGAAGACAGAGAAATGAAAAAAGGAAATCGGTCAAATCCATAGATTGTCTATAATAGCATAAGTTTTATTCTTTAACAAATTAAGCTTAAAATCTCTACTCTAAATCATTACAAAAAAAAAAAATATTGATAAATATTGCATAAATTTAGGGGAAATCATTATACGAAATCTGATATTGATTATTCAATAAGCAATATTTTGGATTCTGACTGTACATATTTTGTGATCACTAAAAATTGGCAATTTCTAACCAAACATCAGAAAAAAATCCTGTGTATTTTTCATTATTCGAAATTACTTTATCCTTAGAAGAGCTTATTATAAATTTATTATTATTTCTTTTATATTGTATTAATTATTTCCAGTTGAATGATTTATAGGTATAAGTTATAACTCAAAAAAAAAATCATTTCTGACATACTTTTTAAATGCGCATTTTATCATAAAAATTTAAATCATGCCATTGCGTATAAAATTAAAATTGAATCATAAAAAATGTAATAAAAAATTTCATATAAATACAATCATATTTATAGATTACTTAAGGCAATTTAGACCAAGGGAATTCAACAATATTATTTTTCATTGTAGTGCGTTGGTGAGCTTTATTGGTCGGGTTTTATTTGGTGGGTTGCGTTTATGGTTTAATGTAAATTGCCTGTAATATTATTGGATATAATAAATTTATAAATAACGTTATAACGGACTAGTAAATTTGGAAGTGTTATATTGGTGGAAGTGTTATACAGAAACAATTACGCAGGTATTTCACATTGCAAAAAAAATTTCTTCTAACGAAATAAACTATTTGTTAGCTGTTAAAATTTCAGACTTTTACAACCTGAGGTCTAGAAGAAAAACGACATCAAAAATTTTCAAAAAACCGATTTTAGATAACGGTAAATTTGAACGGCCATTTTGTTTTATAGTATGCCGCGAGAAGCATGTCGCTGCCTTTCTGAGTTTGCAAAATTTGAAAAATGCTTATGGTTTCACTACAATAAATAGTTAAAAAATGGTATTTTTAAAGTTTTGTGTGGGGGGGGGGGGCGGGATGAAGAAGTGGCATATATTTTAGAGGGAGGGGAGATAGGTATAAATTTTCTTGTACCGAAATAAGTTTCTAGTAAAAGTCTATGTACATATTACGTTTTTCAGCTTCCTATCTTCAAGAGTGTAGAAGTTTTGTAAACATGTTCACGGACGGACGGACAGAGTGAAACTAATAACCACTTTTTTTAAAAAATTTTTTGGAAAAATGTTAAAAAGTATAAATCTCTTGTCTTACGTTTCTCAAAAGAAAATTAGCTATATACATAAATTTAAAAATTAATTCACTCGTATTACAATTCTGCGCTCAATTACACTTCTTTCAATTCTATTGGAACCAATTTTAATAGCTAAATTCAAGTCAGTCAGCTTCGAAATAAAATGAAAGGAACCAATACGAGTGAATTAACCTTAAAGTTCTAAATTTTCATCATTTTCAAATGATTTTTCTTTGTTCATACTTAAGTATGTAATGTAAGTACTTGAGAGTTTACTACACTTATATACTAATATATGTATATATATAGAAAACGTAAATTTGTATGTACAAGTACAACATTAAATTGCAATTTTTAAAATATTTTTTTATATTTTTTTTTTATTTTGAAATTGGCATGTCTTTTCTTTTTTGCTTGCTTTATTATTTTGCTCTTTTGTTTTTTTTTTTATTTTTAAATTAAAAAATCATGCTTCAAAGTGAGAATTTTCGGTAAAATTAAAATGTTTCGTCATATTTTGTATCGTTTTTAGTTGTTCGTTTGTATACACACTCTCACTCTCTTTGTGTTTTTTTTTTTGTGATTTGCATAAAAAAATATTTCAAATTAGAGAATTTTAAGAAGCAAGAAACAAAAAGATAAAGTTGAAATTGGAACAAAAAAAAAATTTTTTTTCATTAGTTTCTCAATCTCAACATCGAATTGCTTTTTATTTCAATTTTTATACTTGTTTTTCTTCCAACCCTATTTGAAGAAACTCTTTTAATTTTGGTAACTCTTTTGTTTTGCTTCTCAATTTTTTTCTCTAATTTTCTTTTTCAATTTTACCATTATTGCCATTGTGTTTTTTGTTTTTTTTTCAATTATTTTTTTTTAATTTATACAAAATCACTTTGAAGCATGGTAACTGTTCCTCACCTATTCTCATTTAATATAATACTTTTTGGTGGTGATGTACCAGTACCATTACTATTAATAACAGTATGTTGTAATTGTAATCCTTGGTCCTCTTGTTTTTCTAATTGTTCTTTCTGTTTCTGTTGTAATTGTTGTTGTTGTTGTTGTTGTAATTTTTGAAATTGTTGTTGTTGTTGCTGTTGCTGCTGATGATGATGATGATGGTGATGGTGATGTAAACTATTATGATAGTTATTAACATTATTATTAATGTATACAGATGAATTACGATAATTATTTGTTGTTGAACGACGTACTGACATAAAACTAGTATCAGCACCAGTTGAATGATGTCCACGAAATGATGGTTGTGCATTATGACGACAACATAAATAACGATGAAAATGTTGACGAAAAACACCAGATATAAAATATAATGCAACCGGATTAACACATGAATTTAGAAAACTTTAAAACAAAAAAAATAACAAATTTTAGAAAAAATTTTTGAATTTAAGAAAAAGTAGCTATTTTAATAAAATTGTGAGGACGAAATGACAATAAATTTTTAGTAAGTAATTTTAGGTACCCGTACCATTCAATTAATCATTATTGACTTTTTGAAATAAATATTTGTATATTTTACAGAGAGACGAAAAAAACCCTATTTGTTTAAAAAAAATAGCGAAATGGGATAAAAAAAAGGAACAAGTTCACGCCTCAAGGTATTTTTTACAAGGACATTTTTTTCCCAAATATCTACAAGTATATGACTTTTTTTCAAAAACCAAAAAAAAAAAATATTTTTCTAAAACTTTAAAAAATATTACTTTGCGGTTTTTTCTATGCTTTTTACCGACCACATTGCATACAATAAGGGAGGTCATGTGATGGCACCAAATTTTGGATGTCGAGTTTTCGCTGAAAACCTACTTTTCCATAGTAAGTCTTATACTTCTCCATAGATGTCAACCTGCTGGTCCGTCAAGTACCAAATTTCAGATGTCTTGTTTTCGGTGGGAATGTACTTCTCCATAGTAGGGAAGCGTAAATAAAATATTTTTAGAGAGATGTCGAACTGCTGGTCCGTCGGGCACCAAATTTTGGATGTCGTGTTTTCAGTGGGAACGCACTTCTCTATAGTACGGAAGCGTAAATAAACTATTTTTAGAGAGATGTACGGTTTGTCAGTCTCTCTGTCGATCTGTCGATCTATCGAACTGTGTGTGCACGCGTGTATCTCAAGTTTGACTGATTCGATTTTGATGAAATTTTATACGTGATTTTATTTTGGCTATAGCACGAATTGATCAACTTTTGGGATATATCAAAACTCGAGAAGTGGACTTTTCTGTATATATAAGGAAAAAATATTAACGAATTTCCTTATTTCCAATGCGGTCGGTTATGTACTGATCACATCAGATTTTTTACTTTTTACCACATTCAATAATTTATTTTAACCATTCTTGAAGATTTTTCATCTGTTTATATAGATATGTTGCTTGTAGCATGGATGGCATATCCTTGGAGAGCATTGATGACATGTTACAAGTGGGATTTTTCTTTTTTTTTTCATCTTGTATTAAGAAATTCTTGTATTTTTCTTCTACAAAATGTAAACTAAATATTTTCATTTACAATATACACAATTATATGTAAGATATTTGTATATATATTTTATTTGGTTTTAAAAGGTATAAGGGTACAAAGGTACATTCTGTTTTAAGAATAAATGAAAATAAATGGAGTGAAGGTAATGGCTTTTATTTGAGTGAAAATTCACTCAAAAAATTTTTTTTTCATTTCTCTAATTTTACACTTTATACATTTTTAATAAGTATACATAGCTATATTTACATTAACAAGAATCTTTAATGTATATGCTAGGTATAAAGGTGAAAATTGATATAGGCAAATAAAAAATTTGTAGATCAAATGTACAAAGTAAAAAATATTAAACTCTTATAACTTGTATACGGGTGAATTGAAAATGGCAAAAGAAAATTCATAAATTATCCATTAAATTTTTTACAAAATTAATTTTCAACAAAAATTAGTATTGAGATATATGAGAGAGAACATAGAGTAACAAAAAGCATGATAAAATTTAATATTTATTTTTTGTCTTCATTTTAATTCTATTCTCTCTTAAAATGTCATATACTGGCATAAAAGTTTCTCTTATGTCACACACTCTTCCATACACACAAATTTTGGAGTGCGTGAATTTTTTGTTTGAGTAAACAAAAAATTTTGCCAAAATGTTAAAATGATAATTATGTGACGATTTTATTGCCCAAAAACAAGGACATTTATGTGTGTCTATTTGGAAGAATATTATAATACACAGAAAAAAATTTTTATGTAAAAATAATACAATATTTTTGTTAAGAAAAACCTGATCAAAGTTGTAGTTTGTAGCGCAGGTTGAATAATAAAGTCATTGTATGTGCAGATTGGTCCGGTTTTGATGTTACAGCTCTCTGAGCATTGACTCCTCGTTGATTTTTAGTAAAAAAATTGTTTGGACGGGAGAGAGGGTTTCGATTAGTTAAAGAAAATTAGATTGAAAAAAATTAGTCTTTCAAATATCCGTAACAGTTTCCAGTTGTTGACAAAAAATAATTCAACATAACGGTATTTATATTATTGGTTCATATCACACTGACCATATTCGAGTAATAGCCTCTCAATAATTTATCTCAATAATTTTGGATTAATTATCTCAATAAAGTTCGTAATTTTTTTTTTCGATGTGTGACATCATCCTTTTAAACCATATTTGCCATTTCACAGGTCAAATGATAATTTTATATCAGCAGTTTTTGTTATACTTTCAAGAATACTTATTGTACAAAAATTTTGAAGAGGAATAAAGGTAAAAGCTTGGATTGAGACTGAAGAAACTTTTGGCATTTTACAACTATAATATATGGCACAGTTCACTGTGAAACTACTTATTGAACTTACACGGCAATAAGAATAAGTATAAATGAGATTTTTCTATAAAAAAGTAAAATAATTGAAGTAAAATTAATTTCACTACTATTTCAGATGATTAGATGAGTAATATCATTTGTTTGCTTATAGCTTTAGCAAGTTAACCACTGCAAATTTGCAAGTATATCAAAAAAAATTTGATTTATACTTAAGGAAGATTCTTCAATAAATGTAAGTACAAATTATTTTAATTTTTCTAACAACTTTCAACCTATTTTTTTTTACAGTGTACAAATCGTTATAAATGTCCGATATTAATAAAAAAATGAAATGTTTTTCGTTTATTTAGGTTTCTTGTTTTTGCGTGTTTGTTATTCAAACCTCGATGAAATGTCAAATATTTTCGTTTCGTGTATCCGAAGGTATATAGTTTATACGCTGAATAATCTGTTCTTTAAGTCTGGTATGAGTTACATAAAATAATTTTATAATTATGTTTATAAAAGATATACAAAACCATTTAAATATAAAAATTTCGAATCTTCTTTTAAATGAAAAAATATTAAATTTATAAAAGAGTGAATGATTTTTTTAGTGACTCTTCACAACTTATCACTTTTAAGCAATTTTCAGTGATAGAATATATGCAATATAGCTATGGAGAAAATGCATTCTCTTATTAGTGTAAAATCTTAAACTCATTAATTTGGTACAAGAAAACTACCAAGTATACAAACCTTCCTACATAGTTGAAACTTTTAAATATTCACAATAATTTACATAAAATTTTACAAAAAATTCTAGTGAGAAATTATTCTAATGAAAGGGCTATAGTGTGTTAAAATTTACTAAAAAGTTGTTATACTTTTAAACATCAGAAAATTATATTTTGCTTTTTTATATAGTCAACATTATAATATACAACTACAGAATGGAGGTTTCAGGCATTATTCATTTAGGCATTAATAAATAAATAATTGAAATATTTAATTTCGCTTTAGGCAATTGAAATTTTTGAAAATTTTTATTGGTCACAGCTTAAATTTAATTTTATTGATTACGATTTAAAATTTATTACAGCTTAAATATAATTAAAATTTAATTTTTTTTTCACAAAATCGAATTTCTACTTAAAAATACTATGTAAATTCTCTATATAATATAAAATGGACGTTTAATAAAAAAAAAACTGCAATATTAACAGTATGTTATGCTTATTCATACGAAAAATTACTTTAGTTTATATGCATATAAAGGACATCTATACCCTACACTTTAATAAAATAAAGAGGACATAAATTCTTTTAATATATTTCTAATTTATACGAGTTTTAGTTGAATGTGTGTTGTCTAAAATGTAAATATTGTACTGTACAGTTTATTACAAATCGTCATAAAATTTGTTGAGGGAAACTTCCTCAACTATACCTCATAGAGAGAGAAATTTGGAGCCGGACTCAACAATTCGAAGACATAGATTATACTGATGACATCTGTCTTCTCTGTCACGAGATGAGTGTTATGCTGAGCAAATGAGATCATCTCGTAAATATTGCCTGACGTGTAGGTTTCAAAGTAGATATCAATAAAACTAAAGCTGTGAGAATAAAAAGCAGCAGGAGCCTGGAGCTCAATTATTGTTGGCCCAGAAATAGTTTGTATTAGTAGTTTCGAGTCTTTGAGCGGTTTAATAATCCCTGAAGGTGGACTCAAGAAAAATCGGAAAATAGGCCTTAGAAAACAAAAGCCGATTTGGTAGGCTGCAATTGGTATGAAAGCATATCCGAACAATCAGTTTAAAGTTGGTTCTGATATACGGTGGCGTGTATACATATTGAAATAACACACGTCTTAACTAAATCAAATTGATTAAAGTACTAAGAATTCTGTAGTTTAAAAATTAAACAGAAGAGCTTTGAATTAGCTGCAACGTCTCCCCTACCCCCTCCTCCTGACAATATTCTTGTTATCAATAATTAATAATTGAACTTATAATTTAATTTTATGAATATTTTCTTAAAATTTTAAAATGCACGGTATAAAACTGTATGCACTGCAAAAAAACAAAAAACCAATATTGTAAAAAAAATTCTTAATTTAGATTGCAAGGATAATAGCATTTCAGTTTGAATTTTTAAATAAATATGAAATATGATTGACGTGTAACTTTGTATGCTAATTTTCATTTCCATTATATTCTAATATTAATTCTAAGTATAAATAGCTAGTATCTATGCTTGTATATAGTTGCAATACTCGTATATACTATTATATTGTATAAAAGATTAAATTATGCAGCTTGGTATATTCAAGTGCAATACGCGTAGAATATTCATTTATTAAAAAATTTAATAATATTCAAAATTTTTGCTGTTGGTTTTTCTTTTATTTTAATAATTTAAAAGTCTGCAATCCTCTGACAGCAATTTTTCTTTCGCTTTTAAGAATTTTTTGTATTAAATATTCGATAGTAATTTTTTTTGAACATGTTTTCGACAACATGTAACGTTTTTGGTATATAAAGAAAATGAAAGATATTTTCAGGTGAAATAAAGGGAACTGAAAGTAATATTATAAAAAATATTTTATAATTTACAATATCCAAGGATACGAACAATTTTTAAAAGTTAAAATAAAAATTTCATATTCCCCACTTGAATTAATAATGAGGAAAATATTCTTATAATTCAATTAGTAGTGCAAAATGTATTTTGTATAAAAAGAGAAACCTAATTGAAGTAAGCTGCTATTGAAAATCGAGCAGAAATCATTCAAAAATCGAAGCATGAACAAGTTTTCGGAACATTTTGTGTAAAAGATAGAAGCTTTGAAAAAAATTGACTCTAAAATTTCAAAATCGAGCTCAGGTTATAAACATTCTTGAAAATTTCTTGAACAAATCACTGTTAGGAGGGAGTAAAACATTGTTAGGGGAAAAAAAGCTGAAATAGTAATGTCAAAAATGAAAGCCCTCATGTTTTTCACCCATCAAGTCATTCAAAAGAATATGTGAATAAATATTTTAAATATTTCAGTGAAATTGTTAAAAAGTCATTTAAATTTGTATAGAATAATTTTTTGAAAAGAGGGTCAAAAATATTGTTTTTACCCCTAAAATTATGCAAAATTCATGAATTTATAAAAGTTGAATAAAAATATCAAAATATAATCAGTTCTAAGCTAATATAAAATTATTAAAATAAAATTATACCTCGTACAAAATCCAACAATTCTTAAAATATGCCAAAATGTATCATATTCTGATTGAGCATTTGGATATACATGAAACCATACTTCAAAAACATGATATGGGAAAAAGCATATGAAAAAAACTGTAAAAAAAAAAAAAATAAATTCATTTTTCAATGTATCCTTTTTAAAAATTTATTCATTAATTCGTTCTTTTAATTACAAAATAATTTTTATTATAGTAAGTTCATATACTTACTCAATACAAAGGCAATAACCATTCTAGCTACATGTCGTCTTGCAGTTGCTTGTGCTCGACTTTGTGGTCCGGACATTTCTCCCGGCATTTCTCTTGCACTCACGTGTAATCTTCTTGCCATCATAATATATAGAGCTGCTATTATTGATAACGGAAGTAAATAATATATAAAAGCCTTACAGCAGACTGCAGACCTATAATAAAATATATGAAAAAAAAAAAAAGATTGTAGAAAATGAAAAAATAATAATTGTGTCATGGTGTAATTAATTCAGAAATTTTTTATTTTCTTTTGCATTGCGCTATTAATAAATTAATGCATTTACTATATTGGTGCATTTATGAATATAGTTGACTAGACTAATCATAAAATTGGGTCACAATAGCCTTTTATAGTTATAGTAATAGTTTATTTCATATTGGTATACTACGTATGCAATTTCTAGTGTAAAATGTAATATCCTTTTAAAACAATCAACTAAAACTTACTGTGACGTTACTTGTATAATAACTGTCTTTTATTTTTTTTTTTCTGTGTAATTGATGTCCACAATACAAATAAATATTAGAAATCGAATTGAAATGTGTCATATTAAAATGTTTTTTTTTTTTTAGGTAAAAGCTTGTGATGTACAAGTAATAAAGGTATGCATGAGTCATAAATAAAACAAATAGATGAGAACGAATATTGAAATTTTACTCTAATCATATTTGTATATATAAAACAAAAATTCTGTCATTTCCTCTCTTTGATTAATGTTTTGCATTTGACAATCATACGGTTGTCAATTAAATTTTTTAAGAACATGAATTGTATTCAATATATCTGATATTAGCAATTTTGTAAGAATCATTTTGATTGCCTGCCTCGAATAAATTAAATTCAACCCCGCGAGAAGCGATTAAATTCAACCTCGAGTAGAAAAACCGCCTGCAGCAACTGTCAAAATGGCATCTTGTCGTGCAAGTATGAAATTCTTGGTACATTAACCAAAATTGGATATTGCCCTGTCACAGTCTACTTAAAAAAGGTAATAAAAATGAAGACAGTGAAGTTGGTATTTGGTAGAATTGGAAGAACCGTTGAAGCAAGCAATATATTACAATGCGAAAACTCGTTTGCCTTTCAAAGTTACACGATCATAAAGGTTCAGATGCCTTGAAAGCGAAAAAAAGGTATAATATTAAATAATAATTTAGTAAACTTAAATAGAAGCTCCCAAGTGTAGATCCAACTTTTCATTCACTGATTAACACAAACTCTAGTTTTAATTATTGTCAAAATGCGGGACGGGACGCAAGGGGGATGGACTGCAAATATATTTGACACAATTGTTTACAGTTTAATTGTTTTCATATTAGCACTTCTTCAAAGAACGAAATGCTTATTAGTCTCACTCTGTCCGTCCTTCTATCTACGTACAAATTTTATTTTGGAATTTAATTTTGAAATTATTAAAAATATTAAAATCAAAGCTAAATAATGTACGATTGCATACGTGCACCGGCTATTATACAAACATATATGTACATATATGTAGGTATATAACATGTTTAACTATCTGTCCAATATACAAATAACTCTGTTTGACATTTGAAATTTTTATTATACAAAAAATTTCTATTCTTCTATATTTTATCGAATAAAAATTAAAAGAACAAAAAAAAAAAAAATAAAAAAATAAGAAAGTAGAAATTGGAAAATGTCATGCAAAATTTATATTACACGTTTTGGTTTGACAATAAAGAATTCAAGAAAATTTTTTAAATTTTTTCTTTTATACCACAAGGGATTTTGTCAAATCAAGGATTGATTTTATTCTTCGATACAACCATCGTAGATTAACTATTAGAGAAAAACAAACAAGATTTCATATTATAGATGTTCATGTTGTAAAAATTATTAGTATACAAGGTAAGGATCATCAATATATTATGAAAGGTGTGTGCGTGTATACAAAAAAAAATAAAGATTTTAAAAATCTTTAAATATTTTCATGTGTTCCACTTTGTTACAACACGTCTCTACAGAGTCTCCGTTTTTTTTGTTTAATATTTTTTTGTTGTCATTTATTACCTACATATATGTAAGTCTACTTGTGTTCTCTTGTCCCATACTCATAGTTCCCTTGGAATGTACCCATCTATCAATGTACTTCTATACAGGACTGATTTTTAACCTTTATACACTCATTTCTAGATATTTAAACCCATTATTTTCATTTCACTTCGTATAGTCTGAACTTTTCACCCATATTAAGGTGATGGAATTGATTTTTGCTCAAAAAAAAAAAAACAAATTTTATTATTTTTCTTTTTGATTAAATTAATTTTTAAGGTGATTTATTGTGATTATGTGTGATGACTTAACATTAACATATAAGGATAAGGTTAATGGTACATATTGGGTTTTATATTAGTTGGGATTTTTATAAAGAAAATTAATTTAATTTGTGACGCAAAGAAAATATTGTAGGACTCTCTAATTTCTTTTCAAGAAACAAAATATACTTAAGTCCATTACAATTTTGAATCCGATCTAAATTTTTTTTCTATAATCAAGAAATTTCATATGATCCATAAGATTAATAGAATGAAGTTTTAATAAAATTATATAAGAAAATATACAATATCAAGGATTATACTCGAGTTAATGTGACTCTATCAAAACGATATGTTAAGAATAAATCAAAGGAATGTGAACAAATTTATATTTCAAAGAAGGCTAATATTCCGACTATATAATTTTCTTATTATTATTTTAAATTAGCTCTAGACTCATGTACTTATTTTTGTTGTAAAAATTTTGTTAAATCTCTAAAATAAATTTTTCATTTAACCTTAAAATTTACAAATTAATGTTGGCATATTAAAGTCTCTTACAAATAAATCGATGGTAATACTGAAAATCTATGGTTCGTTAGCTTGTACCAAAGAAATAAACAAAAAATTTGTTGTATAACAATTTTCAAAAAAATATAATTACAGTGTCTGGCAACTTTACGTTTTGAATTTCTTATACATACAAAATTTCATTATAAATTCAAAATTCTCTAACAATGAAAGTTTGATTTTATAAGTTACGGTTGTAAAATTGTTGAATTCGTGGACAAAAATTATTGTAAGTATACGAAAGAAATCTGATGAGGTCAGCACATATCTGACTGCATAGTGTATTTTCTAGTTTAGCGGAATTGCAGCACAAGGTAATGAAAATATTTTTTAAAAATTTGTTTAAACATTCAAATTCAATAAATGTTGTTCTTACATCACTTTCTCTTTTCTAATTTGCCTTGAAAAGTTCGACAGTTATTATACAGCAGACAAACAGGACTCAAATACTATGAAATGGTAAAAAATGTAACATCGGCTCACAATAAAATTTCCGAGATCTGGCACATTACAATCGGTTTACCCGAAACGTAGGTAAAGCAGTGCACCAACAAGCACCCCCAACAGGTATACAGAGTGACATTTCCCCCAAAGTTGTTTATTTACGTTTCTATGCACAGAGAAATGTCATTTTCATTGAAAACTTGACATGCAATATTTGGTGCTATCACATCATTTCCCTCATTACTCTACTTATAATTCTGCTGCATTGTGAAAATTTTTGATTATGAATAATGTAAAACGCACACGAAATGGAATTTCTTGTTTTGCCTGTTGTAAATTTTTAAAATTCAATATTTGTAGTTAAGCTAAAATATTTGGACAGATTATTCTTATGATAATATCTGATTAATGTGTCTGCATTTACAATATTGTCAATAAAATATAAACCTCTAAAGCAATGAACTTTCATGGATATTATATTGAAATCGATGTAATGTTAGACTTTAAAAAAACCAATAGGAGCTGAATATCGCCGCTTGTTTTAAAATCAGAATACCTGTACTACGAAATAACCAATATAATGCTGAACTAATGTACAAATATAGGCTAAAAATCATAATATACTCAAATACACATGTATATGTATACAAACATGTGTATAAAATGTGTTATTAATAAAAGGTAAGGAAATAATAAGAAACAACAGAATAACTTAATATTGTGAACTGCAAACATAATGTACAAATAAACAAACAAAACCTACACAGAAAAAAAATTAATTAATCAATATTATATTATAGGAAAAGGTTGGGGGGGGGGGGGAACGTGGAACTTTTGAAATTATCAATAGTTTTACCGACTGCATTGTGTAAACAATAAGGTAGGTTATGTGATGGCAACAAATTTTGCATATCGAGTTATCGGTGGGATGGCTGCCTTCCTGGACATTGAGGGCGCATTGAACAATGTCGAGTCGCTTGCTATCACTCAGGCGCTGTCGGGGCTCTCGATTCATGGCTCTCTGATTGTTCTGATAGGCAACATGCTGTCAGGAAAAACCATCAGGGTTAGCTTTGGGGGATCATCCATTGAGCGCTCCGTTGGCAGGAGCATCCCGCAAGGAGGTGTGCTTTCTCCTCTTCTCTGGAACCTCGTAATTAATCAATTACTGGTATGCCTGAAGGGAGAGGGCTACAAGGTGATAGCTTACGCTGATGACTTGACTGTTGCGGTGTCTGGAAAGCACCTTCATACCCTAAGTGGGCTGATGCAGAGGGCCCTGAGCCTTGGGTCTGGCTGGGCTGTCGGCTGTGGGTTGACTATCAACCCACAAAAGGCGTAATTGGTTATTTTCAGTGGAAGATATAAGATACCAACAATAACTCCGCCGACACTCAACGGAATCCGCTTATCCTTTAGCAGGGAGGCTAGATTCCTGGGTCTAATTCTTGATTCAAAGTTGAACTGGAGGTCCAACGTTATGGAGAGAGTAAGGAAGGCAACCATTGCGCTTTACTCATGTAAGAAGCATGGTTTATTGGCTATACATCACAGTGGTGAGGCCGATCCTGATGTATGGCGTTCTGGTGTGCTGGCCAGCCCTCCACACAGCGGAAGGCCTCAGGTTGATAAGGAAGATTCAAAGAATGGCGATGGTATGTATTGGTGGGGTATTACGCTCCACCCCTACTCAGGCTCTCGAGATTCTCTTCCATCTGCCGCCATTAGATGTGCTGGGTTAGCAGATGGCTGCGGGATCTGCGGTGTGCTTGCGGGCCGCATCTCAGTGGTCTTGTGCCCCTGAGGGTGCATGCTTCCGCTCTTGTGGATTGTGGACATGCTGTGGGGCCAACTGATTATGTGGCCCCGGTGCTCTCATTCACGAGGAACTTTGGGACCTCGATTTCGCTTAGGGAAGCCTGGCTGAACGAGGGAGGTACTGACGACGGATCAGTACATTTTTACACGGACGGATTCAAACTCGATGGCGGGTTGGGCGAGGGAGTTTATTCTGAGCAATTAGATGTTGAGCTCTCCTTCCGTCTGCCGGATCACTGTAGTGTATTTCAGGCCGAGGTGGCCACAATTGGGGAAGCTCTGCGCTGGCTTGGGTGCAACATCGTATCGACTGGTGGCGTCAGTATTTTCACTGACAGCCAGGCCGCGATAAGGGCACTGGGCTCTGAGGTCTCCACGTCTAGAACGGTCCTGGACTGTAGGTTGTCTCTTAATGAGATGGCAGGGCAGTTCGAAATAAACTTGGTCTGAGTCCCCGCACACAGTGGGGTTCCGGGCAACTGCAAGGCGGACGAGCTTGCGAGGCATGGAACTACTCTGGAGATTCCACCTGAAAAGGAGAACTTGGGCATGCCTCTAAGAACCCTAGGGCTGCTGCTTCGCAACGCGGCAGTGGAGCGCACCAACCTTAGATGGGCTAATGGAGCAACGTGTAACGCGACAAGGAGTTTGTGGCCAAAGCTGGATTTACGTCGCACAAGGGATCTCATCTCTCTCAGAAGGCAGAATATCAGTGCTGTGGTAGGGGTACTGACGGGCCATTGTCTGATCGGCGAACATGCAAGGAGAGTGGGCCGCCCAGCAAACGATCTTTGTTGGAGTTGCTGTGACAAGGGGGAGGAGGAAACGGTGACCTTCAATGCTCATGTCCGGCACTAGCGAACTCCAGGCAAAGATTCCTTGGGCCTTACTTCTTCGGGCACGCTAGGGACTTGACGGATGTAAAAGTTAGGAATTTGAACCGATTTTTAAAAGGTTCGGGCTGGTTCAGATGAGGAGCGGGAGGGAAGAGATCCAGCGGTACCACAGCGGCCTAGTTGGCCTATGTGTACCCTTCGGGGAGCCGCGACAATCTAATCTAACCTATCGGTGGGAATGCACTTCTCCATTGTAGGGAAGTGTAAATAAATTATTTTTAGCAGCCTGTTGGTCTGTCTGTCTGTGTGTGCCGCATGTAACTCAAGCTTGGCTGAATCAATTTTGATGAAATTTTGTATGTAAGTTTATTTCCACTATCAGGATTTGGGAACTGGATTTATCGCGCCTGTTTTGCGTTTTTGATCATTTTGAAAAAAATATTGAACAGATTTAATTAAAATTTTATATGCTTTATGCAACCCTACGCGGACCCTCCTAACTTTTGGAAATAAATTAGGTGTCAGCAACTGGACTTTTACACGTGCAAAATATACAATTTTGCGTGTATAACGAAAAATAATCAACTGATTTCATTGAAATTTAATATCTAAATTTAACACCTCGAATTAAAACAATGAACCTATTAATTTTTTGGAAAGATCAGGGCTCGGACACTGATCTGGGGAGAGATTTTACATATTTTTGCCATATCTACGGAGCGAATTGATGGAATTTCTAGAAATTTAATATTTGAGCTCTGGTTATTACCAGAAGTTACTGAAAAACTTTTCGTATAAATCAGACGGCATAATAAGAAACTCTTCAAAGCGCCAAATTTACATTTTTCTAGGAATGTTAACCAAAAGCTTATTAGTGTCCTTAACATTGTAAAGAAGTGTTTAAAACGCATTTTCATAACCTTCTGGAATACTTTTGCTAATCTAGACAGCATACATTGTAGTCGGTTATGTGCTAATCACATCACATTTTGTTTTTTTTTCACTGGTGATGAGTAGGATACTTTTACTTAGCATTTTTACAAATTCGATTTTTCAACATTATATTTTTCTTAAGAAAAATTTGCAATTTCAAAAAAAATATGCGTAGAATTAATTCGGAAAATTAATTTAAGTGCGAAATTGTCTATACCTCAGTAAAAGAAAAAAAAAATTTAATATTATTGTGCACGGAAAATTTTGTGAATTTTTATTAAAATTTTGAACCAAAATGGTTTTGAATTTAATTTAAGTATTTTTTGAGTTAAATTAATAAGCGAGTAGTGCACTCAATATGAACTTATTAATTTTTATAAAATTTAATAATAAAAAATAAAATCTACTCACATGTATAACTGTATGGTTTTAATATGTATGTGTGTATGTACAAATAATGTGGAATAAATTTTATTAATAACTTCATAATAATTCTAGATATTATTTTGAAAATCAAACAAAATCAATATTTTAATTTAAAATTTTTTATCAGATTTTGAAATTAATTTACGGATTCTGACACAATTATAATGTTATACTTATTATTATAATTTTTTTAGTCATAATTATTATATTGTAGAAGATCAGAATAAGTAGAAAGTTGATCTAAAATCAACTATGTGGTAAAATATTTGTTAAAGCATGCTATTATGAAAATTTTTATGAAAATTTTATAAGGCCAGCAGATTTTATAAGTTGTGATTTGTTCCGGATTTCCGTTTGTGAAACTCATTAAACTCAACTTATGGTTGCGAAATGGTGACTCGCCTTTGAGTTCGTTGAATGAAATTGAATAATTTGTGCATTAACAGAGATTTGTTATAAAATTTTATGCATGTTCAACCTCATTTACTAATCCTGTAAAATTTAAGTGCTGGTCCTGTAATTACTAATCCTGTAATATTTAATCCTGTAATATTTAACCGACCAATTTGAGATTGGCTTTCATTTTAAAGTTTTTATAGGGCAAATCTTAGTGGCCCAAAAGTAGAATTTAAAATGTAATTTCTTTGTAAACTGTGCGTTAAAAATAGACAGAAATCTAGGTTATGACTCTATAGATTTGCCTGACAGTTTTGAGTTAATTGACAATTTTATTTGCCTATAACTCCAGTCAGCTGTTATAAAATCTTATCCCAATGTTCCAATAAAATCTGAAACATAATTGAAATTAATCCAATTTTTAATTAAATTCTATAAAATTTTGCATTTGTATGCATGTTGCAGTTACCCACATCTTCTCTGAAAATGTATACATTGATAACACTTGAGCTTATACCATATTCAATTATAATTCAATTTTATAATTGAAATTTCATAATTTATAACATATTTGAAATATGTACAAGTATATATGTATAACTTCTGCGGATAGATATTTAGACATAATGATGAAAATTATTAAAAATTAAATATTTTTCAATTTGTTTAGAACAAAATAATTTAAAGCTTAAATAAATTATATAATTTTCTCTAAAATCAGCTGAAAATATTTTATAAATGCAATTTATATAAGTTGTATAAATACATATAGCTATAATTGTATCCTATATATGTATATCTGAAAACTTAATAATTATTTCAATTTTAATTTATATAAACTATTGTTCTATATCCTTTTTCCTGCTCAAAATTTAAAACTGCACAAGTATACATAGACATTATACTGAATTCGCTTCATAATAGAGTAATAAAATATTTAAGCAAAATTTAATATAATTATTTCTATAATATATTATATACGTTCATTACTAATTTTAACTTGGAACTAACATTATTAATTAACTTTTTCAAACAACTCTTTCGTCTTTTTTAATATATTCAATTAGAGTTCATGAATTATTCTCACTTTTTATATTGAATATTTTATAAAACTATAAGACGAAAGAGTTCTGTTATAAATATCTTACGGAATATACATAAGTATATATGAATATAAATATATATTAAAAAATTTTGCATTTTTTTTTACAGGATGCATTAAATATCATAATTATAATAATGGAACATGTTTTTAATTAACAAAATTATTGAAATATATAAAAAAAATGTGATGTGCTCAGTATGCTATCGAGCGAATTCCAATGTATTCTAAAAATTTTTAGTGAAAGGATCGGACAGGGATGTGCGAAAATATGTCATTAGATCATGAAATACGCTATATGAAGTAGTATTCTCAAAACAATTTGATATTTTAAATAAGTTAATTTAAAAGCTAATTCATAGGAATCGGAGTGTAAGGATAAATAAAGGGAAAAACCAAAAAATGAAAGATATTGTTCTCGAGATAAACTGTAATGTTAGTTCATTTGAAAACTATGGCTCAACCCAATTAGAGTGGACGAATTTACAAACACACTAACAATTTTAACCGGGATAAGTTTTGGTGAAAACTCCATACATAAAATTCTCTATAATTGCAATACCTCCCTTATAATTCGTAATTAAGTTAATATATTTGACGATAAGCAAAACGTTATAAAAAAATAAAAAGAACACACTCTAATCAATTTTATTTACAAATTAAATATTAAATTAAAATATATAGATAAAAAAAAAAAAACTTTTTACTTACTTTGCATAAAAACTATGAAAACTATCACGACCATATGGTGTACAATAATAAATTGTACGATTTGTTCCATTAACACCGGGAACTTCAGCTTCATCAATATCAGCTTTAATTGCTGCTGGTGTTGCACATAAAATTGCTAATAACCATATTAGTGTTGCTGTTAGAACTGTCAATGGACGTGTCTATCATAAATTTGTAAAAAAGAAAAAATTGAAAATAAGAAACAGGATAAAATTAATTGGATTCAATAAGCAGATTACAATTTTAAGCAAAAAAAAAAAACAATTTGAAAAATAAATTTATTTTTAATCCGCGGATAAAAAAAAAATTATTTATCAATTTTTTGTTTTTGTTTTCTACCGTGGAAAATAATCATTTAATATTGCAAAAACTTTTAATTTTGATTAATTTTAGCGAGTTTAGCGAGAGATTATATTTTGTATTTTTGAATATTTATAGGAGGAATGCAAAAAATGCAAAAATGCACATTCTACTGATAATAGGAACTTCCAGCTGATAATAGGAAGTCATGCCAATGCCCAGCACACCGTCTGCGGAAGCAGTGATATAAATAAAAGAGGTGAGCATATATTGAATTTATATAATAGCAATAAATTAACGATTATAAATTAGGCCAATAAGCCAAAATTCATAAATGCAATTAGGGAAGTGGTCCTTGATATAACCCATGTATATGCCATACACAGACATGCCGTCCCAAATGAGACGTCCATGTCCGACTATTAGGTTCAGATTAGGTTTGATATCATGGTTTCCGGGAGGCTGGCAGAAGAAAGGTATCGGGTGCCCTAATCCACAGATTGGTTTCAATTCGAAACGCTCCTCATGGATGGAATTGGATCCATTCCTACTTCTGTCAGAACGGTGATGGATATCGAACTGGCCAGCGAGGCCCTGACGGTGGCTATTACTAGTACCTACCATGGGAGCTGCCGCGCTAAGTCGAGGCGGAGCAATAGAAAGTGCCCGTGGTTGAATGAAAGGCTTTCAAGGCTTAGATTAAGGACCAGAAAGCTATTCAATAAGGCAAAAGACGTTGGGCTCGTGGGAGGAGTATAAAGACTTACTCACGAAATACAATAAAGAAATTAGGAAAGCAAAGAGAAATTCCGTGGATGAGGGCATCCTGGCCCAGAAGGGATGACTGGCAACCATCCCGCTTGGCCTTCACGATGGGCAGGATAAAAGTGGGTGTTTTCTGCTGCAGGCCCTACAAATCTCCTGCGTTTTTCCAGAGGGTTTTCCAACATATCACCACAGCGATGTTGGAAATTTTTCGTGCCAGCATGGGGTTACACCCCTCAGACATGGATGTGACGTATATTCCGAAGGTGGGTAAGCGACCAAACAACCACCCAAGGTCTTTCCGTCCAATCAGCCTTACTTCTTTTCTATTGAAAGCAATGGAAAAAGTGATTAAATGGAAAAAGACTTATACGGGACGATGCACTGGGAAGTAATCCCTTACATGAATCTCAGTACGCCTATCAGTCGGGAAGGTCTACTGTACTCGCTCTGCAGAGTCTGGTGGGGGTCCTTGAAAACTCACTGGAAGTGTGGGAGGTGGCAGTTGGCTGCTTCCTTGATATAGAGGGAGCTTTTGACAACACCCCATATCATGTCATGTGCGAGTCGTTGCACAAACGAGGGATTGATGCGACTACTAGCAGATGGGTTGATCGGATGCTACAGGATAGGATTATTAAGTCCACCATAGCTGACGATACACTCTTCATCTCCGCTGCAAAAGGGTGTCCGCAGGGCGGGGTTCTTTTGCCTCTCCTGTGGTCCATTGTAGTGGATGATCTAATCGCTGCTCTCAGGGCTCCGGGGCACGTGTCTGGGGATACGCCGACGATGTGGCCTTTGTCGTACGGGGAAAATTTGAGAGCGCTATTTCTGATCTTCTACAGCAAAATTTATGTGTTGTGGAAAGGTGGTGCCAACGTGTTGGGTTAGATATGAATACGAGCAAGAGCACTTTGATTTCCTTCATCAGACACCAGGCAGGGATGAATTACGAGCCCAATTCTGTTTGGTGAACGTATTAGCTACTCTAGAGAGGTGAGGTATCTTGGGGTAACCATGAATGATCGCCGGTCCTGTAAGATCCATATGGATAGAGTTATAGGGAGGGCTACGGCGGCCTTATAGACGTGTAGGAGCTTCATCGGTGGGGCCTGGGAGATCACTCCCGGAATAGCACAGTGGCTATATATGGTCCTTGCTAGAACCATCGTCACCTACTCGTCAATTGTATGGTGTAGCGGGTGTGCGGGCCAAGCTGGAAAAGCTGCAGAGGTCGGTCCTTCTGGGAGTGACCGGTACAATGCGAACGGCTCGTACCGCTGCGTTGTAGGTGATGATTGGGTTGCCCCCACTGCACCTCCATATAGTGAAGAAAGCTCGGCTAGTGACTTACCGACTTCTCTCTGGTGAGGACAAAGCAGAGTGAAAGTTGGCCCACAGGACTCATAGAGACTTTATTGAGTGACCCCGCTCGAATTTCTGCATTCTATTGTGTATAAATAAAATTTAACTAAGAAAAAATGCAGCAAATTGCTTGAACTTGCCAAAACGTTTCTTTAACAATAATTAATTCTAATTAAAATTCATCATTTGACGCTTTCATAATCAAATTTATTACGGAACATTCCGTTCGAGATGACTAAATTAATAAGATCACATTATGTCGATTAATGAATCGATGCCTCAAAATAAACGGTAACCTTTCTAAACATTTCTTATTCTAATATTGTTTTGTTCTTAAGTAAATTCAATTAATTTAAATTAAATTTAAAAGGAAAAAGAAAAAGTGTATATAGTTTATAGGAATTGGAATTGCTCTGAAACGACAAGTAAAAGGAAATAGAAAATTTAAATTAACTTTAGAAATCTTAGATTTCTAAAAAAGTACATTTTCGTTAAAAAATATGAATTGGTTACAAGTATTTTTTGCATACATTTAGGAAAAAAAGTTCATTTAGAAAATAGCATTTTTAAGGACTATGTTGAGTTTTATACTCTCCCAATTAGGGTAAAATTTTTGAAGGAATTTTTTTCCAAAATTTGTAATCAGCCGCATTGATGGACAAATTGAAACTAATTAGAACAATTTTTTTTTAACAAACAACAACAACAATAGTCTTATGTAAACGCACATTGTGAAAAAAATTTTAGAAAAAAAAATCTTTATTGCCTCATTGTTCAACGGCTGAATACAATTGAAAGTAAAACAATTGCAAATTACAAAATTTTTTTTTTATTTTTGTCCCGTAATTTGATAATAAAAATTAAAAAATTATTTATAGAATTGCTATAGAAATAAAGTTTTTACTATGTTGCATACTTTTAGGCGGTTTCAATTTTTACTGTAAATACATACGAGTAATTGGTAATGCATAAATAACTGGTAGGTATTCACTTTAGAAAATAAGCTTATAAAAATAGTGCATTTGTATAATAAAACAATTAAAAACAACCGGATATGTTTACGGGATTTCTAATTATTTTTCACCAAATTTAATCGTAATTACATAAAATTTGTTTTTGAATTAAATCTTTTGAATATAGCTGTAGTAATTATATAATTTACCTGTAATTTTCTAAGTGGATTTACAATTGCACAATAACGTTCTGCTGATAATGCTGTTAATGTAAATACTGAAACACCAATTGATATATCTTTAGCACATTCTGATATTCGACATAATGCAACACCCCATTGCCATGATTCAAATGTATAAATAATTGATGCTAATGGAACACAAATTAATATAACCAATAGATCAGCCAATGCCAATGATACAATATATCTAAAATACAATTAATTAGAAAAAAAAAAATAAATAAATAAAATTTAAAATTATATTATAGATTGTACAAGATGGAGGGCTAATTTAATACATTAAAGTACAGAAACACACACAATCGATTAGAGAAAATGTAATAAATCTTAACTTATTTTTATTTGCCCCGCGCCCTCTCCCCACACTCCGTTGTTTAAATATAAAATGGAAAAATCTATTTTTGTAATTAATTTGTTTTTTATTTTTCTGTTTTCTTCCAACAAATTGTGGCAGTATTCTTTTCTCTTAAAACACATTAAAAAAATATTTTAAAGAATGAGGTTTTGTTCTTTGGAAAGGCAAAAAAAAAGTAAAAATAATTTAATTTTCTTTTATATTGTAAGAATCATGTGTAATTATTGAAAAGATTTGCGTTAGTAAAGATATGTGAAGGCAACAAATCTTTATTGATTTTCAATTTTTTTTTTTTATTAATGAGAAGAGAACTGTTATATTATCAATGAGATGCATAAGATTTTAATTTATTTTCTATGTTCAATTGAGTGTACGCATACACACCCGCACATACACAAGAAATAGGAATATTTTTCTTCTTATACTTTTGATGTGATGAAAATAAAAAAAAAAGGATGTTAAATTCTATTGAATTTAACTGATTTTGTACAAAATACGAGTATATTGAAAATAAAGAAAAATCTTGTATCCTAATGAGATTTTTTTTTTTGCGCCTTTAATTTATTTACAAGAAAAAATAAAAAGGATTTCTGTAGTCTAACGCCGTTTTTCTAATTTGAAAAGGATAAAATTTTTTGCTTCAGTTTTTATTTTTATTGTAATGCCGGAGGGAATCAAAAGATTTCTTATTCAATAATTATTTTTGTGACTTTGACTTTATTATAAAAAATTTTATTGAATTTGAATTTAAGATTTTTGTTTTTTTAATTTTTCAAGACAAAAATTATAAAAGAGAATTTTTTATTTTTATTTGCTGTTACCATAAAGGAAAAAGTTATTATAATTAAAATTAAATAGATGAAAATGAAAAGATGAAATTGTGATTTATTAAAGTATTTATGTTGCAAAAATTTTTTATGAAATTATAAAAATTGTAATGGTGTGGTTATAAAAAATATTTCTAAGTAAAATGCCACACAAATGCCAAAAATATTTCTTAATAAATTTGAGTTTCTATATCGAAAAAGTTTTCTAAATATTTTTCAAAATTCACATGACGGTTCTATTATGAATTATTGAAGAGAGAGAAATTGAACCCAAGATCAGAATTAGTTTAAGATTTTTCGGGCAGTCACATTACAGCCAAATAATTTTCCTTGAAAACTTTTGATAAACTAGTTGGAAAATATATCATATACCTAGAAATCCAAGTAATTTTAATTTGATAAATAAATTTGATAAATAATCGTGCTGATGTGAACTATTCTTGAATATAATTGAAAAAACAGCTCAAAATTATGAAGATTATACTTTCATAACCCCGCAATGAAAGTATGATTTCTCTTGAAGTGAGACACACCATGTAAACCCTCAATGGAAGACATAAAATAGCTGTATTCACTTTTAATTATTATTTCAACCATTAAATTTTGACTCTATACGATTCTGCCCCATGACCCTGCAAAATTTTTTAACGGATCATCAGTTAAATATTTTGTTAAATCACCATCTTCCATAGAATATAAAAAATTTTATCAAAAAAAATTGAAAATTTTAACACAAACCTTTTATCAACTGATTTCAAACCTATGATTTTCAATTTTCTAAGGAAAATTTAAAAAAAACAAAAGCCTATACTCATAATGAGGAAATTATAATTTCATAGTATTTTTTTATAATTCTAATTTTTTTATGAGAAAATCAATGAGTCACAAGAATATTGTCTACTTATATAAAAAATTTTTTTAATCTTTTAATATGGCGCCATCAAAAACAAATTTATGAACATCATTTTTTTTCGGAATACGAGTACAATAAAAAAATAGTCATGGTAAACAGAATATTGTAAATACATTATGATGGGGTCATTTCATAAAGATAATCTTTTATAGAAATATTTATTTTTTAATAAACATATTCATACATACATTTACATAAACACGAAATATTTAGGTATACATAGTTATGTTTCGTCCTTTTTTAAATGATCACATTTTCTGCTTTTACTGTAATAAAAAAGGCAAAAAAAAAAAACCTAAAGTGAACAACCTAATCATGGGTAACCTTTTATTATAATTTATTATCTCTCTCTTTCACAAAATAAAAAAAACGACAAATTTCTAAAGCTATTCCAATATACAGGAACTAATATTCATATTTCTATAATTTAAGTTTCAAAAAGGATAACTTTTATTTTTCAATACATACATACATAGAAAATATTGATGCAGGGTAATCCCCAAAATAAATTTTCTATTCGTTCAACATATTTATGACTTCCTAAAAGAATTTTTAATATTATAGAAAAATAAAAGTAATAAAGTAAAACTTTACAAAAAATTTTCGTACTACGACAAGATGTACATACTCTCATAAAATATACAAGTAAATTATTTGCCATCATAACAACTTAATAAGTATATATAGTAGGTACTTAAACTTCTAACCCAGAAACCACTAGAAATAACTTGAATGAAAGTTGAAAATTGAAAATATTCTTTCATTTTTGAAAAATTATTCTCTAACATAAAAACCACCTATAAATTCAGAAAAAAATATTGGCAGGGGTGTGTTGAAATGACAGCAGAAGGGCTATAATACAAAACCACAGAATGTACTACGAGTATGGTTTGATATGGCCTTTACGTCATGCCATTCATTGCAAAATAAAAAATATTTGTGCATATTTATTTTTGGAAACCTATTAAATTTAATATTTTTATATTGACATTTTTATTAAAATAAATAACATGATTAACATGATATTAAATTTAAAAATTCCCGACATTGGAATGTGAAATAAAAAAATAATAAAATGTCAATAATTTCTCCGAATATTGGCTATTTGTTTTTTTTGTAATAATTGAATATACTCGTAATTTGACTAAAAATGGTGGAGCAAAACAAAATAAATTAAAAATTTATAACACTTAATGGGAAAACTTTAATAATTTATTATTGAAAATTTTAAATTTATTTTGCTGTTCATACAAATAACATTTTAGTATCAAACATTTCCAACAAATATTTCAATTATATATTTTCTATATTAAAGCTTTAACTCGGACTAATACGAGGCTTTCTAATAAGAATAAGGCTTTTGAACAAAATATCAAGTAAGCGAAATTTACTCAACGATTGAAGAAATTAAAAATGAGCATAATTTAAAAATACTCATATAATACTGTATGATACAACTGTATGATACGATTAAAACTGTTCAAATATAAAACAGATGTATAGAATTCAGGAGAAGACATTTTTAATTAGAATGCTATTTAAATTATAATTGTCACTTTGTTCAAATATGTAATTAAAATTTTGTGATTTCATTCACAATTTGAATTTTTCGTCTTAAATAATACATGTTTGATAGACATGTTTATGTTTGATATTTTAAAATTTGTGTATAATATAAAATACTCTTCTAATTTTCTTTTATATAAGAAAAGTAACACAAAATTTAATTTCGAGCAAATTAAAATTTAAAGTGAATATTTTTTTCCGTGAGTGATCCCGTTGAGTGAACAAGGAGTACGGTGTGAATATTTAATTTATTAATCATTTTTAAAAATCCAAATACCTTATATGTCCGATAGTGGGATTTTTATGTTTACCCTGGTAATTTTTGTGCATTTATCTTGCTTCCTTATTTTTCGCTCACTTATCTGGATTCCAATTTTGTTTTATTTTGTTTTCCTTTTCTTAGAATTTATCAAATCCTAGAGAAACATTTATCAAATTTGTTTTCAAGAAAATTTGGTATTGTTTATCAAGTATACACTAATAAAATACCCTGTACATGTGTTTTACAGTATTACAAATATTTATTTTGGCCTATACATAATTATTGATTACATATACATAGAGGTACTTAAACAGTTACTAGGGAAAACACGGTAGACGAAAACATAAATATAAAATTTATAAATAATGCTAATTTCTAACTGAAGGGGTTTCGTTTTGTATTTTTTTTTTTTTTTGGGATCTTTTAGTACTTTTAGAAAAGAGGAAATTTTTCTTTTTGTTTTTTTGCCACATAAAAAAATTTTTTTTGCTGTTGGGTAAAATAAACTTTACCTTTCCAAAGAGTTTCAATTTTTTTGGTTTTCTACATAACAAAAACTTTTGTTAAGTTTGGACTTTTTGTGGTTTTTCTTTTGTTTCCAGAAAAGATCCAGAAATAATACTTTGTTCATTGGGATTTTCTTAATAAAATTAAAAAAATTTATTAAAGTTTCATTTTTTATTTTAAGTTGGAGAATATCTGTGAATATTAGTGTGTTTATAAGTGTAATTACTTACAAATATGATTTTATGTAATTTTGATTTTGTTCGGAAGTCATAACTTTTGATTTATTATGAAAAAAATTATTAATATATAAGAATTTATTAAGAATTTTTAATATAAAAAAAAATAACAAAAAGTTTATCGACATTTTGTCCTTCATATTTTCACTCACAAGTTTTCTTTCTCAACTAATTGTTTTTTGTTTCTTCTTTATTATGGTGAGTATAGATTGTGATATAGAGATGATCAAAGTAAATTTTTGTGAAATAGCAAATTTCATTCTAGAAAATTATGTTTCGAAACGTCTATTTTGAAATAATAAAAGCAGCGTTTAATTGCATAAATTCAGGGGAAAAAATTGCATAAATTTAGGAGAAATATTGAAATGATTATAATAAATTAATGCTAGACTATAATAAAAGTGCCATTTAAAATTAGTTAAGCTGTAAAAGGATATTTTGAATTAGAAAATGAAAATCTTACAAAAATTAACTAATCTAGAGAGAGAGAGAGAGAGTGAGAGAGAAAAGTTGAACGGAAA